TACACTTGAATGATAAAACACAACAAAAAATAATAATATAACTATATAATTTTTGGTATTGTTTTATTATGCAAATGTTAATGTTGACCCATCTGAAAGTTTAAAATAATTGTATATATATATATATATATATATATATATATATATCACATTTTGTATTTTATTATGTTTTATCATTTTATTATGCAAATGATAATCTTGATCCATCAGTAAATTGTATATAAATAACTTTTTGCAAATTGCAGATAAATCAAGATTAAGATTTGCACAATGGTGTCCATTTATGAACCAGCGGTAAATGATCGCTGCTCAGTTCTCCGGCATTCTCGGAGAACACAGTTCTCCTGTGAATGCAGTTTATGAAGCAGTTCTCCCAACGAAGGGAGAACGGTCTCCAAACGCTGGAGAACGGTCTACAAACTCTGGAAAACGGCTGATTTTACTATAATCTCGCGAGATTACAGTAAAAGATCAGTTTACTAAACAGAGGTAAATTATCTCTGCTTAGTTTTCGGTCCCTCTGATTCTCTAGCTCTGGGCTGGAGAATCTGGAGGGAGAACCCAGATCTCCAGAGAAGGGCTGACATGATCTCCTGAGTGTCATAAACTGTGAATGACCAGAGAATAGCTGAGATCTGTTGAATCGCAGCTATTCTCTGTGTCATAAACGGAATTACATGAAAATAATAAGCATTAATCACTTGTGCTTTCTTAACGTGTTTTCTCGTGTTTTCTTTAATGCACATTTTGGCACAAATTTTAATGCCCTTTGTGGAGCATTCTTTAAATGCATATTTTGGCACTTTTTAAGCATATTGGCATGTTTATGCAATTTTGGCGCTTTCTTTAACATGCATTTTGCCTCAGGTTTTTTAATGTGCATATTGGTTCTTTTTTAAATGCATATTTTTCTGCTTTAATAATGCACATTTTGGCACACTTTTTTTATTGCACACTGTGGTGTGGTGTGTAACATGCATTATTCCTCTTTTTTAACACCCATTTTGTAAATTTTTTAATGTTTTGGCACATTTTTATGCAGTTTTGGCAAAACATGCATCTGCTAGTCTCATTTAGGGTGCCATTAACAATTAACTGCATCGCAAGCGTGGCATGCGTTTGGCATGCATTTCCAAAATGTGCACAAAAAAACACGCACAAAACTGCGTGTTAAAAAAAAAAAAAAAAAAAAAAGCACCAAAATGCACACAACACACACATTTTAAAAAATGCAGTGTTGTGCATGTTTTTTGTGCATTTCTCACATAACAAAATGTGTTGCAAAATGCATGTCTGCTAGCCGCATTTGAGGTGCCATTAACAATGTAGTACCCAAAAGTGTATTGAGTATTTTGATACAATTTTAGTGTGATTTGGAATCGTGGGCAGAATCATGCAATTTTGCTCATGATTCTGTATTGCTCAGATGTGAACAGGGCCTAAAAGACAATACAGTATAACTATATATAACATTTTAAATATTTACATGTGTGTGTGTGTGTGTATATATATATATATAATTTATTTATAGTAATATAGTATATATATAACTTCTACATATATGTATCTATCTATCGAGATATATATATATATATATATATATATATATATATATATATATATATATATATATCAATAGCTAGATACATATATGTAGAAGTTATATATATACTATATTATTATAAATAAATAAATATATATATATACACACACACACATGTAAATACATATATATTTATTATTATAATACAGGATTTTTATATAGCACCAACAGTTTGCACAGTGCTTTACAAAATTATATATATATATATTTTTTTATATATATATATATATTATATATATATATATATATATATATATATATATATATATATATATATATATATATATATACACACACACACATATCTTTTTCATATTAATTTTTAACCCTCTCTTGCTGACATATAAGAAGAAAGACGTCTTCTTCCTCACATCGCACCAGCTTCTCTCCCAGATTCTCCACCTCTGGGCTGGAGAAGCTGGCATGGAGATATTTCCCACTAACGGCCAGTGAGATCTTCAGATCTCACCCTCATGAACTGGCCATTTTCTTGACAGAACCTGTTGTTGCCCTGATGAGAAGTGGAGAACATTTTATCAGCTTCTCATCTCAGCTACATAAACTGCAACAAATGACAGATAAGCCATGACCATCAGGATCGCTGCTTCTCTCTCCTTCATAAACGGACAAGAGTGTTAAAAACTGTATATATACATACATTTTTCTTAATTTTTTTTTATTCATGTTTATTTGATAGAGAGAGATAGTGTAAATTGAAAGAAAATTGTTTTGTTTTTCGTTCTGTTTTGATTTTTTTTCTTTTTTGTTTTATTTTGTCTTTATTTTTCCTTGCTTTTGCTTGCAACAACATCTTTGAATTTGCAGAAGTGACCCTTTTGTACCAGAAAACAAATGATCTCCCCTGCTGCCAGAGTTAACCAATGAATGATGAAATCCCCCCCCCCCCCCCCTCCCTGGGTTGGGGGGCATCCTCTGTGCTGGCAGCTTCCCCAGCACGTCCGTTTTATGACCTATCATTTCCGTCTACTGCCTCTCCTTGTTAATGGCTACCAGGCCGAAGGAAGGATCCGCTCCAGGTATTGCCCCAGGTAGGATCACACACTTCTTTAGTACATCCCTCCCTTGTCCTGGTCTGTCTGACTCCTGTGCGGTGAGATCCGAGCTGTACTTCCAGTGTACAGGGATGCTCATGTGTACAGATCGTGTGCTGGCAGATTGAAGTCTCAGTTTCTATGTAGCAGTAGCTGGTAGACATTAGACTGGACAACGTCCACATTGGGGAGATCCACCGAAAATTGGTAAACAGCATGATGTCAGTGCTGACAGTCATGGACGTTTTTTTTTTTTAATTTGTTAAAAACAATGACAGTATTAGCAAATATCAAACAAGAATTCGTGCTGTATTTTTTTAATGATGGAAAATCAAGAATAAAAATACAAAAAAAAAATCACTGAAACTAATTTAAGCCTGATTTCTACTGCTAGAGCAGATTCGGAAAGCAGCAGTCTAGGTCTGTGCTGATCCTCTGCCTTCTCCATTGTTATCTTATCAGCAGAGCTGAGACTGATGAACTATCTGCTGTGTTATTGCGCCCCCATCCGCCGGTGAGCAGCATGCAGGACATCAGATGACAGCGTCAGCGCTTCCATAGCGCTTCCCTCTAAGGACACGATCAGACCATTGAACGTGGTTGTCCTGCTGGACGTGCAACTAAACTGATTATTGTTGGCTGAGCTCATATTTACTCTAAAATCATTTCCGAAGGGAAGCTGAATACACTTTCATTTATAGGGTTAAATCAGTCATTTGCCGCAGACTCTGATGTCTTACAAGAAATTGAGTCCCAAATCAGTGTACACAGCATGCTGCACAGAGGACCAGATCCATCAAAGATCGGAACGTTGCTGAACGCTGAGAGTGGATGTGATGGATGCTGTAAAGCTGACACTTCTCCATGTAAAATATATGTGGTGTGATATATGAAGTCTAGACGGGAGGCAGAAGGAAACCTGAACATTGGCATTTTATAATACCAGGGCGTCCAGGTCACAGGAGGTTTGGACTTCCTCCAGAACATACACAGTGGCACACTGATCACAGTGCAGGAATTTTATCCTGGAGACTTGGATCTGGTGTACAGGGAACACTGTCCCAGCAATAGGAATGAGCCATGGGAAAAGAGCGACGCAGGGAGAGCGATTCGCCGACCCAGCGTCAATTTTCCTGCGGTAAAATGAGTGAAATGTGCAGTATTCCTAAGACAAGCATAAGTAGTCTATAGAAATAACTGTGCCAAATATGACATAAGAAAATGACAAAAGTAAAAGATTAAGGGCCAGTTCACATTATAGTAACGCAGTCCAGATGCGTTCTGGATGTGTTTTTGCATGTGCATTTTTTACGTATTCCAGTGAGTTTTTGACGCGTTCCAGTGAGTTTTTTTTTATCAATTCCAGTTCATTTTTTCCACTTTCTTTTTCTTCAACTAAGAGCCAGTTCACACTACATGCATTTCAGTTGCATTTTTGCTGCATCCAAAACGCACAGAAAGTAGGTTATATGGTTGTCAATGTCATAGTTCACATCAGTGCTTTCAGTTCCAGTGCGTTCTGGAAGCAGAAAAAAAAAGTAGAACATGCTGCATTTTTTCTGCAGAGCGTACGCACACGTACCTATTTAAATTGAAGAAAAAGGGGAACAAATTACCTGGAATGCATAAAAAACACCCTGGAACGCACTAAAAATGTGTCAGAAACACACCTGAATGCACCAAAAATGCATGAAAAATGTGCATCCAAAAAAACGCATCTGGACTGCGTTTCTATAGTGTGAACCAGCCCAAAGGGCTAGTTCAGACTAAATGCAGTTCAGTGTGCTTTTTTCTGCATTAAGAATGCAATGCTGCATTTTCTCTGTACAGAACCATACTGAACATAACAAACTGCATCAAAACTGCACCGGAACTGCGTGTGGAGTGAACTGTAAGCAAAAACATATCCTGAATGCATCGGAGTGCATTTTTGTAGTGTGAACTGGCCCTTAGGGCCAGTTCACACTACATGCGTTTCAGTTGCTTTTTTCTGCATCCAAAACGCACAGAAAGTAGGTTATATGGTTGTCAATGTCATAGTTCAGATCAGTGATTGCAGTTCCAGTGCAGAAAAAAAAAGTAGAACATGCTGCATTTTTTCTGCACAGAACTGTACTGGAACGCACTAAAACACGCCAAAATGCACTGGAATGCACATGTCCCTATTTACATTGACGAAAAAGAGAAAGGGAAAAATTAACTGGAATGCATAAAAACGCACTGGAACACGTCAAAAACGCACAAGGAAAAAAGTGCATGAGAAACTGCATCCGGAATGCATCTGGACTGCGTTTCTATAGTGTGAACTGGCCCTGAGGGCTTAAGGGCCAGTTCATACCATGGAAGCACAGTACAGATGTGCCTCCTGTTCTTCTCTTTTCTATTCAAATGAATGGGCTGCCGCGTTTGTGCAAACTCAGGCCCACACAACCCACATAAGTGTGAACCTAGGGGCTCATTTACTCCTGTGATTAGGGCCAGACTGCAGGTTTCTGTGTGGATTCCTGTGGCTGGAATCACAGGTATGTGCAGGGGCGGACTGACAACTCATGGGGCCCCCGGGCAATAGGGGATCATGGGGCCCCTGTGTCCTCGCCCACACTCAAACCACACCCAAAAAAACCTATGAAAGGTACCAGGGGCATCTTATGGGGCCCCCTACTGACTGGCAGTGCCCGGGAGCTCGAATGGTCAGTCCGCCCCTGGGTATGTGTGAACAGCTGCCGGTGGGAAACTTGTACAAAGCAATGACAGGTTGACAGGAACTGTGACTATCCACCACACTTCACATGTATCCAATTAGGCAACTAGATGATCGTTCCTAAACACAATCTATCTGCATCTACATCCAACTATCTGTATTTAACTGCCGGTAACCACTTGGTGTGATGATACATGCAGACAGCTGCAGGCAGCAGTGACACCTGTCAGCACTTTGTACAGGCTGAGTATTATTATTATTATACAGTATTTATAAAGCGCCAACAGTTCGCTCAGCTCTGTACATTACAGATGGGGGACAATACATGAGACAGTACAATAACAATACAATGTGATACACGAGGGGTTCGAGGGCCCTGCTCCTTGGAGCTTACAATCTAGGAGTAGCCACTGCTGCTTGTACACACCTGGGTTCCCAGGCACATGAACCTACTGGTCATTACTACAGAAATCCACTGTCTGTCCCAGGAGTGGACTGACAACTCATGGGGCCCCTGGGCAATAGGGGATCATGGGGCCCCTGTGTCCTTGCCCAAACTCAAAAAAGCCTATGAAAAACGTACCAGGGGCATCTCATGGGGCCCCCTACTGACCCCGGGCCCTTGGGCAGTGCCCAAGTTTCCAAATGGTCAGTCCGCCCCTGGTTTGTCCCTAATTGCAGCTGTCCCCATAGGCCTCATTTACACTGGCAGTGGCATACATGCATTTATAGGGCATTTTCATATCAGGTATATTTCATCTTGTAAGTTTCACTGCATTTAGATGCATTCAAGTTACCTGAGTTTAGAGAAAACAGAAATCTGTGTGTTTAGGAACATATCAGATATTCTGAGTGCATCCAAACGCTTATTATCTATAAATGCATGTAAACGCAGCTACATTTGAATGAAAGTGATCTGGAAAGCATAAATGGCCTACACATACAGCAAGGGCGTTATTCAACTTTAGTCAAAGCCGCCCAGTTTGTTTTCATCTACAGATACCCATTACCTGCGTAGGCAGTTTTTTGGTAAGGGTGAACTATCCCTTTAAAGTCATTCCTTGCATTTTTCTGCCTATAATGATGATTGTGTTATTAACGCATGTAAGCACAAGTACATCTAAATGCAGGAGAAGTTGATGTGGCAAGCATAAAGTGGCTTTTAATTCCTAGATAATTTCTCCTGTGTTTACGTAAACCAAATTTAGGAGGCTGTCAATGTAGCCTAAGGCCTCATTCACTCTGACACTTCAAACCTGTTTTTTTATATGAGTTCACAGGACATTTCTAAACACATATAAATGTATGTAATGATTTTTCAATTTTACCATTCACACTGAACAATTGTTTACAGAAAATAGAATACTGTGTGTCCAGGATCTAATTAGAAATTGTAAACATGTCTAAAAGCAATTAAACATGTCTAAATGCAGCAAAATATGCTTTAAAGTGGTTGTAAACCTCAGGCATGAAATATTAACAAAGCATATCCCTCTATAGTGTATACTTGTCTCTATCCAGAGCACTTAAAGTGTTACTAAACCCACAGCAGTAAAATCAGTCTGTATATACAGTAAAGCATACTTGTTATACTTACTGTGGAACCTAAGGGGTTAAACCTCTGCATTGTGTAAAAAGGCTGTTTTATCCTGTCTTCTCTGATCCTCCCCATTTTCTACTGTCCCCAAACCATCTGCTGATAGCACAGAGCTCTAGGAGTCACTCTGCACATGCTCAGTTGGTGTGTATTGCTAGAGAGTTTTTTTTTTCTTTGGGAGGGTGCATGTGATCAGCACAGGACCATTCAGTATTGTCCAGATAGAGGGTCAGGGGTTATGCAGCCTCATAGGACAGTCAGAGCAGAATGAAAACTCCTACAAACTTTGCCAGTGCTCAGCTGAACAATGTTAGATGTCACAAGACTGCTCTAACTGCTGATAACAATTTATATTTACTAAAATAATTGCATTTCCATGTTGTGTGTACTGTGGGAGACCAGATATAGGTGTCCTTTTATGAAACAGATCAGTGGCAATCCTAAGGATCGTTGCTGATCTCAGATCATTAATGGTTTAGGAAACAGAGATGATCAGCAGAGAACATGTTCTCCACTGATCATCTGAGCACACAGACTGCCAGTGTATGAAGGAGCGATGTCAGCCCTTCACTGGTGATCTGTGTTCTCCCTCCAGATTCTTCAGCCCAGAGGTAGAGAATGATTTACCACTCCATGATAAAGGGACACCATAGTGGATGCAGGGTCCTGGGTTTAGTAACACTTTAAGTGCCATTTCTATCTGCTGCCCACTTCTTCATTTATCTAAATGAATGACTTCTGACAAGTTTTCCTAACATCAAGAGAAAGAAGGTGACAAGGGAGGGACTTCTAGCAGATTGACAACCTTAGCTCTGTTCCTGTGTGCTGTGCGTGTGTGTGTGTGTGTGGGGGGGTGTCCTTTCCCTCCAATCAGCTTTCAGAGCTCTCCTTACTGACCGCTTCAGTGTGTAATTTCAGCTCTCTGCCCCCTTTTTTCTGATAGCTCAGACAAGCTTTATAAATTCTGCACTTTGAACTGATGTAGGGAAGACTGCAGGTGAGCTGGTACAACTTATGTAGGAGGATTTGTTTCATCCCAGTGTATTACCTGAAGCCAGTCACTTCAATGGGTATATGTAAGGGTTTACAACCGCTTTAAAACAGGAACATCTAAAACACAGGAAAAAGTGATGAAGGAAGCATAAAAGTTGTTTATACATCCTGTATAACTTCTATGCAGGAGTGCCAGTGTGAATAAGGCCTTAAAGGCAAAGTTCAGTCTATTTTTGTGAGTTTGTATTTTGAGCTATTTTTGTAAAGTCTAATTTATAGTGACCCCACAAGTAAAATTAAACTAGAGGTAGTTAGTAGAAGAAGATTAGTAATACTCACCAGTGCAGAGGGGGAGACTCCAATTTTGCTGAGTTACAACTATTCTGTACTACTATGTTCTTTAATGATGTAGTGGCCAGCAGGTTAAACCACAGCATGCAGTGGGGTATGCAGCATTTGACACACCCAGAAGTGTCAGATACCTGCAGCCAGGGCTGTGCATAAGGGGGTACCACCAGTCCTCCTGTATGGGGCCCAGGCCAGCAGGGGGGCCCAGGCAGGGCGAATTGGATATGGCAGAGAGGGTGAACGGCACGGCACAGCATGTGGGGGAGAATTACTGGAAATTAACAACTGTATGGCTCTTCCTACAGCAGCTGAAAGCTGGATTTTCCTCCTCTCCCTCTTGGCTGCAGAGATAGCCGTACAGATAATTGGTTCCAATAATTACACCTCCCCCCACTGCACCCATCACCCTCCCTGTGCACCATACCTTTCCCTCTGCTGCCCAGATCCCCCTGTGTGCCTCCGCCCCCCGCAGTGCTTCCAGCTTCCCTCTTCTGCAAGCACACAATAGGATCCTTCAGGATGGAGAGTGGGGGAAGGGTTCAGTAAACATGTCACATTTACCAGCCCCTTTTTTTCCTGAAAGAACACAATGAGTGATCAGTATCAATCACTCACTGTGTTCATTCATAATTGTAGCATTGTAATCTGTTGGGTTTTTTTTTGGAGGGGGCCCCTGTCAGGTCAGCTGTATGGGGTCCCATGGTTTCTAACAGCAGCCCTGCCTGTAGCAGACATACCTCTTCAAGAGAATGAACATTGGAGTTTCTGTTTCCTGCAATGGTATGTATCAGACTGGTAAATTCAAAATACTAACCACAACATACAAAGCCATCCACAACACTGCCCCTAGTTACATCACCAACCTCCTCTACAGATATCGTCCAAATCGCTTGCTCCGCTCCTCCCAAGACATCTTGCTCTCTAGCTCCCTTGTCACCTCCTCCCACGCTCGCCTCCAGGACCTCTCCAGAGCTTCTCCCATCCTCTGGAACTCCCTACTGCATTATGTCCAGTCAGCCCCCACCCTGTCTCTGTCTGCCTTTAGGAAAACTCACTTATTCAGGGAAGCCTACCCCACCTCCACCTAAGAACTGTACTTGAGCCACCTCCATCAGATCATCCCCTGCAGCTATCATCTCCTCCCTTTAGATTGTAAGCTTCATGAGCAGGGCCCTCCAATTCCTTCTGTACTGAAATGTATTGTAATTATACTGTCTCCTTTTATATTGTGAAGCGCTGCGCAAACCGTTGGTGCTATATAAATCCTGCATAATAATAATAATTAATCTTCTTTTGTTGGCTGTACTAGTAAGTAATCTTATTTTTACTGGCCATACTGGTAAGTGTTCCTTATCTTCTTTTCCTGGCCAGACTGGTAAATTTAGACTTAACTATTTTTATTGGCTGGACTGGGATTACTAACCTTCTTTACTCGCTGCCTCTAGTATAAGTGTATGTGTAGGCAAACATATTTTAAAGTTTTGGATAGAGTAGAGAAGGGTTCAATTAAAACCCCTCCAGTTTTTTTTTTTGCCATCTCCATACCATTGGGGACATTTCCCATTCACTATCTGTCCCAGAGATACAGCAGGAAGTCAGTGGAAATCTCCCAAAATGAGGGATATTCCCTTTTTAGAGAGGTGTCCCCAGAAGAAGTGTCCCAACTGGGAGATAATTAAAAATAAATAAGTGATGTAGTGCTGCTAAATAATAGCTACAAAAAATAAAAGAGTGATACAGCTGAATAAAACATCCATAATGAGTCCAATTTGTAATAAAGATTCTTCCATAATTCATGTGTTTTCTTCTTGTGCTGATATCCCAAACACCATCAAATAAAATAGTGCACATAACATATCTTGCCACCTCAGTGCTGACAGAACAGTGCTCACACATTCCTATCTATTCATGTCTGCCCAGAGCCAAGCTCCTTACGCGTTACATCACGCCCACGTGACTTCATCAGAGGATCCCTCTGATGAAGTCACCTGGGCGTGATGTAACCTGTAAGGGGCTTGGCTCTGGGCAGACATGAATAGATAGGAAGGTGTGACCTCCATCACCCTTATAGGGACCGATCCCTTGCTCTGGTTTGACAATCTATTGAAAGCTCAAAGGTGTTTGATTACTATCACATGGCTGTGGATTGAAAAAGTGAAGAATCCTTTTGGCTATTTGATATCATAAAGTGCATTTCCATGTGCTCTAAGGTGAGAGTTCTGTGAGCACTGAGGTGGCACTATATGTTATGTGCACTATTTTACTTGATGGTGTTTGGGATATAAGCACAAGAAGAAAACACATGAATTATGGAAGAATCTTTATTACAAATTGATTGATTTTACATATATGGACTCATCATGGACATTTTATTCAGCTATGTCACACTTTTATTTTTTGTAGCTATTATTTAATAGCGCTACATCACTTATTTATTTTTAATTTGCTTTACTATTGTGGGAACACAATTTGATGTTAGCAGCAGCCACTATCATCACACTATTTTTATTTTCCTTTCTGCTTGTGTGTGGTTTTTTTTTGTTGTTGTTTTTTTTTTTTTTGTTTTTTTTTTCCTCTCTCTCATTATTGAGGTAGCGCATGGGTTTCACTCCTATATCCAATTGGGAGATACCCTCTTACCTTTTGCCCTGGGGACATCTCTAAAATTTTTAATTTCCAGGCAATGCTAGTGCTTGGCGGAGGTTCCTGTTCACCTTCACTCATGAAATC